CCCACACACACACTAGAGCTGTGGTGCTACTCATTACTGCCTGGAGCCCTAGTTGCATTTTAATCATTTATATACGCATTTGCCTTTTTAAATTATGTTATACAGTTTTCTGTGTCAAGTTTCTCCTCTCTGTCTTCTGCACACTGCCAGTGTTATTGCACTGTTGTAAATGAGTGGTGTCATTCTTTTTCATTTGTTCTTCCTTTTTTTGAAAAATATCTGTTGTTGTTTTTCCTCTGTGACACCAAGTTTCCCTCCTTAATTCATGTGATTGTTTTAACCCCTGGTCTCTCAGTCTCACTTTTTCTCATTTTTTCCTGAACATTAAAGCAGTTGTCCTAATTTTTGATTTGTATTATTTTTTTTTACGGATTATTTACTTTGTACCTATTTTTGTTTGTCAATTATCACCTTGTTTCTTTCTCCATTCTGGTTGCCGACAGTGTCTTTTTTATTCATCCCGAACACTCTCATAATGTTAGTCTGTGTTGGTGCCCCGGTTTACAGGATGTGGTGTGTTGTAACTTCTCTCACTGTTGATGGTGCAGAGGCTTGTTGTTGTGTATCATTTAGGTCAGTGTCAGAGTGGCAGGTTTATGGCTGCAGCCATAACTCTTTTTCCTCACTAATATTGTTGTCATAGTGATATCTCAGACTGTGTTGCATCCTTTACATATACAGTAGGTGTATCTTTATATTTTCTTTCACTGATAACAATAATATCATTGTTTTGTATTATTATTATGGGTGTATGCATATTTTATTATTCCTGACCTCAGTGACATCTCTTCTTGTCATACAGGTTGTCCATGAGATCGACACGCTCACTTGTGACCTGCAACTAGAGGAGGACGGGATGACAGACAGCTCCAAGACAGACACACTCAATTCCAGCTCCAGCTCCACCACCACCACTGCGTCCAGTCTAGAAAAGATGAAGCTCTTCCCAGAGGACAGCATCTTTAAAAAACCTTCTTCCATCATTCCAGTCCCCGTCAACCCCTCGGCAGTCCTGGCTGTTTTCAAAAGATCCCATCCACCTTTACCACCACCAAGGCTTACTCCACTAAGAACCGAGGAGCACAACATCAAGAATCTGCCTCATCCGACATTAGTGTTATCAGGGAATTTATCCAAGGCCAATGGGGCTCTAATGAGAAACGGTGGAGTCTTTCCGGTGAAACCACACAGAAATTTATTCTCCTCCACACCGTGTTTCCTTACTAGTGACAGTGGGATACCTGAGTCAGGGCTTGTACCCACCTTGCCCAGACCTATGCCCTTACTGCGTCATGAGAAGAACAAATGTCCCGAAGGCCCTGGTAGGGAGCCGCGTGAAAGGGAGCGTGTTCGTTTTAGCGAGAAGGTCCAGTATCACGGCTATTGCCCAGACTGCGACCTGCAATATGACGTAGACAACATGGAGTTTCACCTACAGACAGAACTGAATGCCTTGAGGCTCAGCCCTGTACACTGCTGCTCTTCCTCATCTCCTCCTCCCCCTCGTGCTCTTTCTCATGATTTACTGTTGGAAAATGGCAGCCTCCCGCTCAGCCATAGTTTTCCCCCGACAGTAAACACACCTCCACCTTTTGTGCCTCCACACCCCCCTTCCCCTAAACCCCAGAAAACAATCCTACGCAAATCAACCACCACCACCGTTTGACACAGAGTCCCTTGTTCTCTTTACCTTAAACATTCTTGAATCATTCATAGTGTTTCCTACTTTAAGAGTGCTTTCTACTGTAGGTGAACTTTGGATATCCCAAACAGAGGGAGGAAGGGTTGGAGAAAAACAGGAAAAAAAAAAAAAAACAGGTTGGATAAAGTGAGCAAAAGAAAGAAGAAGGCATTGCCATGAGCCGTGAGATGTACACAGAGAGATCAGGATGAAACGGTGAGTCTTTGTGTGTGTGTGTGTGTGTGAATTCTTTTGTAAAGAAAAAAAAGCCCATTCCATACCTTGGTGCATATCTCTGAGTATCTGCTTTCAACTATTTGTTTTTATTCATGAATGTATTACATTGGGAGGCTGGTAGGCACCAAACACTGACTGGAAAATGTGCCGGCACTTTAAATTTTCATAGCACAAACAATGCTGACAACACAAAATCGAAATGGTGTTTGTGTCTTTTGCTGCTAACGAGTCTAAAACTCAGGAGGGGTTTTTTTTTTTTTTTTTTAGAAAAGTGCTGTGATTAATTCATGTCCTTTTAGATGAAACAAGAAAACCTGCTTCCCTCAGAATCCATCCGAAGCCCTCAAGCTCTTTCCACACACTGATCACTTAACTGCACACAGGCTTTGAGTAAAGCGGAATACACAAGTGTATGTGTCACTACAGAACGGGCAGTGGCATCTATTACCCACACATCTAACAGGAGAACAATTAGGTTCTTTCATTCTTCCTCCTCCTTCGTGGCCTCTTTGTTTCTACTAGGCAGGTTTCCCTGATGGTGTCAAACAGAAGAAGTGAGAAATTGGAGGGTGTGAGAAAAGACTGACACGATCACTGGAGAAGAGAAGGAAAGGTATTATATTAAATTTCTTCTTTTTAATGGCCTGTCAATAAAATCCTGTATTTTATTCATGTCCCGTTGTAAAAAAAGTAACCTAGCCTTGGCTTGAAAAAAAAAAAGTCCAACTTCTCCTGCTTTGGACTTTTTAATGGAAGCCTTGCAACCTTTGGGTCACATGAAATCTTCTGACTCTCTTTGCATTCCAGTTACATATTATACATATATAGAGAGGGAGAGAGAGAAATATATAGTATATAGGATAGAGTATATATATGTATATACTGTATTTATATATACTCTATGTATATATATATATATACATAGAGTATATACATAGAGTATAGAGTATATATATATATATACGTATATAGTATATACTTTCACTTTCATATAGAGATAGAGAGTAGAGTAGCATCTCAGCAAATTCACATAGTACTGTGTTCTTCTTTTGACCCGATAATAATTTAGCAAAGTTAGCGTAGACAGATTTACCTTCCGTTAAAATTTGACATATACAATATCAGAAATCCCTCATAATCACAATTCAGCATCAACTGATCTTTACTGCAGTACATTTGTGTACGTGCTGGCACGTGCGCGCGCGTGTGTGTGTGTGTCAGACCTCATGTCAGGTTGGCTTAAATAGAAGAAATGCTTTACCCTGTAGTATGATGGGAATGGTACAGCTGTTCCTCTCAGCAATGCCCTTAATTAGCTGGATTAGACAACAGGAGACAATGCGGTGCGTGCGATAGCCTTTGTACCATCATTACCCTTGAAAAAGCTATGAACTGCTGGTCCACATATTGTATTGTAATCAGAGGGAGAACAAACTAACAGAGCAAGAAATGGAGTAGGCAAGAAAGGACGGAAAGGTAAAAGTGTTGAGGTAACATTTGGGGTCCTTGAGGGCAATGTGTAGAAGGTAGACTCACGTACCATTGTGAGTGTGCGAGAACAAGACTGAGAAAAACATGGTTTGAAACAGCACTCTCTGGAGCAAATAATGCCTTATCGTTCAAACAGTTTCAAAACAGCATCAGGATTAAGGAATTAGGGAAAAAATTGGATGTTAAAGGGATTAGAATGTGTGTGTGTTCCACACAGAAAATCTGGAATCATATTAGACACTTATTTGCAACAATGTCATTACTAGCAGTGTAGTGTTCCTGCAGAGAAAGGTCAAAGAAACCATAATCCTATTTGCAACAAAGTAGAATGGTACATCAAATTTGTCGTGGCGCCTTAAAGACCGACACTGGTAGTAGCTTTAGGCAACACACCTTTCAGTCTAGTCCATCTGTTACTGTAACAGGTTGTTACTTCTCTGTCCAACACTAAAGCCGACCAAGAACATCAGCAAAAACTTTTGATGCAAATTTTGGTTAAGCACCTTAGTCGTTGAAGCTTTAACGTACAGTTTCATGAGCATTGAATGCACAAATGAATCTACAACAATTATTTTTATTGCTGATGGATTTTTTTCAAATGGTATTCCAGTAAATAAAGTGTTTCCATCAAACGTCACCCTTACACGGTTGCTGGAGCCAATCCTAGCTATAAATGGGTGAGGGCGGGGTACACCCTGGACAGTTTGCTACGTCTAGAGACAAACAACCATTCACTCACATTCATACCAATGGTCAGTTTAGAGTGCCCATGCTCAACTGAGCATTTTTGGTACCCAGATAAAAACCCACGCACAGACATGAGGAGAACATACAAACCCTGATAGAGAAAGATCAATCGGGAATCAAACTTGCACTTGGTGTGTAAATCTTGGTGAACATGCCACAGTGACGTCAACCTAAGAAGAGACATTAGCGTATTCAGTGCTAAGAAGCGTTCTCAGGTATTTTATCAAGTTTGTCTGCTGTCTCTGTCATTTGAGTCAAAATACTCCCAACTACAGATTATCTCGACAAAGACAAGCACAGCACACTACTGTGTAGCTGGTTGTACTGAATGATGAATGATATATCCACCCTGGCACAACCTCAGTTAATGCATAAAAAAACACTGTCTGTTCATCACCCTTGTGTTTGCTCATAAATAACAAACAACTAATTCTAGAAACTGATGTTTACAGTCAAACTTTTAGATTTGAGGGACGTTTGTGTTTATGCCGCCGATGCATTTTTACTTCAGGAAATTCAGCGAGCAGATGAAACAGAGACTGAAGGTGATGAGCGGCGCTGCTCAAACAGCCAGTGTTGACACTGAGAGCAAAAAGCTCACCGTTAATCAGTGTCTACTACAGTAATGCCGCAGCCTCTACTCAGCTGGGTGACTGAAAGCCTTTCCTCCATGTTCTGTGAAGCCACTGCACTCGTGGCAGGCATTTTCTGGAATAGAAGATAAAAAAATTGGTGTAGTGTTGGCGCGAAGTAGAGCTAAGTGACACACATAAATGCTCCTCAGAGCCCTCCCGCCCCAACTTTTCGAACCAGCTGGACCTTTACGTGGTGTTTGAAATTGTATTGAGTATTTTCCATAGTACTTGCCTTGAGATTAGTAGTCCAGTACAACTATAACTTGAATTAATAGGACCTAATGAGTCTGGCACATACAGCGTGCTCAGTGATGCGCATGCACACACACCTTTGTGCACACACATGCACACACACCCACTAAAAGCTGTGCTCTAGAGAACAGAATACATCCAGTCATTCTCACACCTCCTCGCAACAAAGTCTGTGCTTGACAAATTAAAAACCTGTTTCTCTGCATTTACACAAAATTAGTTCACTGACCTCATTCAAAAGTTAAAAATCGGGGAAACTCAACAAACTTCTCAACAATTTTTTGCAATTGTGCGTGAAAGATTAAAACATTTAAAACACAACTAAAATATAAGACTATGATAACAATCAAGAGTAAAAATTTTATTTTCTTGGCTACAGTCTATTATCATATTTTCCTTTTTTATTGCCGTGACAGCACTAGCAGTGTCCTGCACATCATAAAAATATACCTAATTCTCTGTCCTGGGAAGTACTCCAAGGATCCTGCAGTAACAACACAGAATAATCAAAAAGATTTGAAAAGTAAAGGCTTTTGATGTCGTGTGAAGATGAATTGTCAATGAAAAATGAATTGGTTTTTGTTTAAATGTTTGTAGTGTTTGAGCAGCAGAAGAACCTTGGAGATTTAGTTGCATCATCACCAACTTGTCATCTATGATTCAAGTTTCCAAACATACTTTTTGGCTGTTCTGTAAGTGAGAGGCGGAACCCTGCTGAGCATCTCTGCTAAAAATCTGCCATGTTTTTTTTTTTTTTATTTAGTCATTACATTTTTTTAAAATTTATTAACAAGATGATTCAATACTGAAACCATACTGAAAGAAGAGAAGGGGATTGCTCCCTAATTGTTGAGTTTATTTTCAAATTAAGATGCCAAATTATCAATCACCCATGATGGATTTAATAATATTGAAAAATATTATGAAAATTATGCAAATGTTTAACTTAAAATTTAGCTTCATAGAGTTGTTTGAGTTTAGTCATTGCACACCTTTATTTTTAAAATGTTGGCGGAGCTGTTGCTCTCAACAATATTTATTAGTCTACAGTCCCTCTCTATCTATTTGACGGTTGTGTCTGTCATCGATTGTCAGCTCTACACTAATTTATAGCCCTGCTTAGTGAGGCTGGTCTGACACAGGACAGGTGAGGCCTCTACAAACATGCTGCATGTTGAGATGGCGTTTTGAACTTGAGGTGCATTGGTGAGAATAAAACTTTTTAACCACAGTGTGTGTAAATGACAACATGTTTATGGGCTGTAAGGGGATGGACAGTGAAATTATTGGATAAGTCCTTTAAACATTTGAAAACGATGTGAGAGCCCAACTAATCATCATTTTCGTTAATCTCTAAAGGCTAGTATCCAAAACAGGTTTATTAGCAAAACATTTCATACTTATTTTGAAATAAACTCTTTTGACAACAGTAGCTGTTCAACTGTCCATGTCATAAAGACTATTCTGTTAAAGATTGTACATATATTTTAATAAGGTGCTATAGAAATACATCAAATCCACCATTCTGTTTTAGCAAGTATTTTTTAAAAATCAGTGTTTCCACTGTGTGCGTGCAGAAAGTCAAGCAAAAAGAGTGTTGCTGATGGACTACCATAAATAAACAAGATGGGTTTGGAGAGTAAAGGAGTAAATTAAATGTTGTCTTAATCAATGATAATGAGTCCACAAGTTTTGAAAATGTGCCTTTAAATGTGGCAAGGATCATTTCTGTCAGTATATTTAAATTTTTAACGTCAGAAAACGTTTTCAAATCTGAGGTGTGATTTAACAGTAAGGAAAGAATCATACTAGTATTTAAAATGTGCCTTTTTAATAATGTGGATTATTTGCTGCATCACTGATGCCTAATGACTGTGAAGAGACGAGAATTCAGATGGGAAATATATTTTGTTGGATCTTTAGTTTCCTTTTTGTTAAGCTGTCCCAAATTTCACACCTTGTCAAACTCATAATTATTCAATTTACATGAGGTATAATCTCTTCAGCTGTATCTATTGTAACAGTAGTTGACATTGTTTAATGTTTAACAGAAAGGCAAATGTGCTCAAATTAAACAATTACAGAACATACACAGTTTTTGGTGTCATAACTTTATCAATAATGGAATACATTTCTAATGTCATGTCCTCAGAATCAATGCAGCTTACAGGGAATGACACTCTACTATCAATTTTACCTCATTTTGTCTGTTTGGCTGGGCCATGAAAAATATTCTCATGGTCATTGTGTAGCATCACAAACACATTTCCTTGATTTTAAAATAATTTCCTCTTCAAAAAGAGATTTTCATTGATTAAATGTTGTACCGGAGTAAAAATATAATATATTTGATGTATTTCTTGTACCACAGTTCATTGTGGCTACTATATTCTGCAGCACACCACCGTGAGTGGCTGCCTTTGCGTGTGTGTGCACTTGCACATGTGTGCAAACAGGCACTTAACATGTACCAGATCCATTAAGGTCCATTAACACAAGGTGGGGCTGTACTACATTAGTAAAGAAAAATTCATAACCGTTTTCAGTGTTATTTATTTCGTTCATGCATTTTCTGTGCCTCACTGAAACTTTGACTAAGATACTAAACTTTCAGCTCCGAATAATTGTGTTATGCTGTAGAATTGACACTGTTTGGTAACATTCCAGAGGGGCAGCGCTGATAACGTTTGTTGCCTGGGGCTGCTGCTGAAGTGTGGGTCTTTAAAATGCTACACCATGTTTGCTGCCACTATCACTTTTCTGCACTGTTTACAAATAAGGTTGTTGCATCCCTTTCTCCTGATTGGTAGCCTGTTTTTCTTTGCATTTCTTTAACATTTTCAGTCAAAACAGTGATTAGTGGCTCCATCAGACTTTCCATGTTTAACTGTAATGTGACCCACATGGGACATTGAGTGACTACTGATCAACACGAAATGTATAAATGTGGCTGTGTAGTTGATAGATTCATGTAGTAATCGTGGTGTTTAAGTCCATCCTTTTCATTTTCTACCATCATATGTTGAAGGATTTTTGCGGTTATTGGGTAAAAGTAGCGAAAGTAGGCAAAGAGGACTTGTTAGCTAATTAGAATTAATTTTGTGTCTACAGAAAACCACCTCAATTCACATTTTGGGCAGAAACCAGAAAACCTGTCTGTATCTAATAAGTAACACATTTTTTACTAGTGACCAGAAACAAGATTCATGGGGATCTGCTACACTGCTTTATCTTTTTCAGCGCAACTCATTAAAGCAATTATAACTAATCCATCATGAAGCTGCATTGTTAAGAACCAGCTAGAGCATCAACCTTTTTTTTACATTTGTTTCCAGCATAACTTCTGATTTTTTTTTTTGGTTCAAATTCTTAGTCTTTGCACCAGTTCATCATTTGTCTATTTATTTTTCTTATCCTTACCCTGTAAATGGTGCTACAGTATATTAATTATGGGGTACTATCATATTATATACTGTATATATATATATATAAATATATATATATATATATTATATATTATCATTAGTACTGATCAATGTATAAGACTGTGGACGTAGTGGTAGGAATAGATAAAACGATGAAAACCTGGTGCACACAGCAGTGAGCATTGCGAAGTGCCTAGCACTTCATTGGTTTGCCAGTCCTAATTACAGAACCTGGCCCTTGGCGTTTGGGTTCACTGACTTATCTATTATCTGATTGTTCCTATATCACAGTGTGCACTGCTTCTCTGACAGTAGTTGTAGGGGTTTTTAAAAGGATGATCTACGCTAGAGTTCTGCGGCCCGAGATCAAGTTGTAAAAGGCAAGGAGGAGGTGGATCTTCACCGCCTCCAACGTGAGTCAGACCTGACTCACTGACCCACTCCTTACAGCTCTTAGTTCGCAGGTCCGGCTCAAAGCCCACCTCGCCCTCTCTTATCTTATCCTTATCTTATTTCTGCTGCTTTTTCCTCTCGTAGTTCTCTCTCTGTCATTCCTCTATTTTCCTGACTCACTTTCCTTTACCTTTCTTCATTATTTAATTGTTTTTAGATGATGCTTCTCTCCCACTCGGTTGCTGCTGTGTGCATAACAATAACCCCTCTGTGTTCATATATCTCTACATGCTCGTGGGTGAGGTAACTATTATTAAATCATATCTGACAGTTAGTACAGCAAACACCGTTGGCAGCAATGCTTTTCCATTTGTATGTATAATCAAAAGTTCACCGTGTGTTTTCTTTCCCGAGGTAAGGCAAATTCTGCATCATTTCATTCCTACCTTTGGATCACAAACGACCTTCTGGGGAAGAAAAAAAAAAGGTCTTGTGGCTATTTGCATTTGCTAATGAATGGTTGTATGCAGACACTGCTCCATTCAACAGCTGTGTGCTTTTGATTTTAAACGCATGTTATGTTGACGTGGTAGTGCGACACCTCAAAGAGTCAAAGAGATACGTAAATGTGCTGCTTCCATAATTAATTCGAAATGATCGAGCTGATTGGTTAGGTCATGGCTCTAAAGGTAAACCTATTTGCGGTCTAATAAAAAAATCATTATATAGGTGTGTGAGCTTTGATTGCTTGTAATCACTACACTGTTCTCAGCTCTTTTTTTCCTGGCAGATGCACGGTAAGCAATAAAACCTGATAAATGTGCCAGAGTGAGATAGGTTTTGTTTGCCAGTGAATATTAATTAGCTGTTGTTTCTCCTTCTGATTGTTGTTGCTGATACTCTGCCAAAAGACACAGTTGTCAGCTCATCCCCATTCTGCACGCATCATTTACTTATTTATTTACATGATTATGGTCATTAGGAAAATAAAGTGTAATGGGAAAAGTTCTAATAAGCCAATCACCACTGTAGAATAGTGATAGCTAGATAGATACTTTAACCTACATTTTCAAATATCTTAAGAATCGTAGACTTTGTCTGTGACTAAGACAAAATCATGAATGTGAGTGGGTGTGTGCAGTTTTCATTGTCAAAAAACCTGCTCACTGTGTCATCCTTAGAATTTAATGTTTAAGGTAAAACAAAAGAATGTATTTTGCCTTTTGAAAATAATTTTTGCCCTTTTTTCTTCCAAGACCTGATAGACTCAGAGTAACCAGCTGTGTAAAGACAAATTGTGTGCTTGGGTGATTTAAGGTGTAAAGATATTGAGACAAAATTCTTTTTTGCTGGAACACAAAGGCAAATAACAGCAGGTAAATGTATGTAAGCAAATGTACTAAAAAAAGCTTTTGATTTTTACATTACTGTGCATCTTGATGGTGGCTTGACTTAGACTTGGAGAGCTGCTTTCAAAACTTTGGGGAAACTCTGTCCTCATCAATATTAATCAGTCTACAGCCCCTTTTGCAATCCATTTGACAATTATGTTAGTTAGTTTGTCAGCCGTAGACTAACTGACTGCCCTGCACTGTGAGACTGATCTGACGCATGCTGGAAGTCTGACCTAAGGTTGAAGACTTCACAAACACATGCTGTGGTATCAACTATGTATGAGAGCAACGATAAGTAGATGGACTGCGGAATTATTGGATATAGTGTGTGTAATTCTGATGTGTTAAAAGAAAGAAAAAAAAGTCAGATTAATTCACAAACTAACAAGGATAACTTTTTACTTTAAAAGCCGTGACTTTAAACACTATTTAACAAAATCAACAAATTCTTTCAGTATCCCAGTCCACTTTCACAAATCTCTCAAGCTCCTATAGAATTGATGGTCTCTAGTTATTGACCTTGTTCTTCATGTTCACCCTAAGTTAAGGCCTTATAATGTATGTAACACCTATGTCCTCTAGAGAAAGTTATTCATCACTTTGAAAGTTTGTTTTGGTAATTGTAGTATTGATGGTCAAAGGGTCTGAAAATAGTTTTCCTGCCGAGTGCTTTTTTAAATTACTTCTTTCCTCTCGTACAAGGTTCCTTGTACGGAATGCACTGAAGCCCTTCCACTCCATTATACAGTAATTACAGTATATAATGGGTATGGGGTTATTTTTGCTGCATTCCTCTCCTTTGTACAGGCATAGTGCGCTGATAATGTTGTCTTCCGGTAAGTATTTTTTTGCGGACTTAAGTCTTGTTTGGAGGTTCGAAATAGAATGTATCTCTGTCTTACAGAAAACTTGATTTTCAGCTTGTTTGCTATTGTTCTTCTCTAGAGTTTTGACCTCTTCCTTCTAAGTGTGACTCTCTTTAGTCCTTGGCTAAAAATATTTCCCTCACCTGTAAACTATTGTGTGCTCAAAGGCGCGTGAGAAAAGAAGAAAAAAGGGCATGAGTGTGTGAGTGCATACCGAAATATAAGGAAAAGTCAAAGGGCGTGAGACTGAGACAACTCAGAAAGACTAGGTGGAGAAGCAGAAGTAATCAGAGGATTTCACACTTCTATGGAGATTGGAAAAAGTTAAAGGTATGAGCTGCACCTCACGCCGAGAATCTAAACAATCTCAACAATAGGATCACATTTAGGAAAGCCACAATGACCCAAATGGGATCAGCTGCTCAGTGAACCAATCCATTCTCCATCCAAGAAAAAAATGACAGCTATTAAGGAGCAACATGAAGCCTTTGGTCTTTTCTCAGAAGGGAAGGCTTTTAAATCCATGAAGAAAAATGGTGCCAAGCTGTTCAGCTTAATTAATTTTAATGTCCACCGTCTGTGTCGTAGAGGCTGAGTGTGGGTAGGGGTAAGGGTGGCTTGGTTAAACAAGGTTAGGTTAAAAAGTCCCAAGACAAGATGGAATGATTTCAAAAGATGTCCAATCAAGCCTTAGGATTTTTAGTAAAAAGAAAACATTGAAAAGGAAATCAAATGCAACATAAGACCGAATTTTACAAAGAACAAATGTTCAGAATGAAATATCTAAACCTTTGCATACTTGTTCAGGCTTGAACTGATGATATGTACAGGAAAAGCTTCAAATTTCTCATTTTCAAATGTTCAGCTCACGTTGTTCTTTTCACACTAATTGTGCTCTCCATCCTACAGGGCCCATTGTTACATCAGAGGTACAAATGGAACAAGGACTTGTTTCTTACACTAATCAGCCTCGGTCTATCAGGCAGAAAGGGTCCAAGGCATCTGCCTCCCTCTTTTCCTAAAGAAGTGCAAATGGGAGGAACAGGAAGCAAGACTACTGGACAGCTGATTCACTAGCACTACAGGAGCAGTACAATCCTCAAGGCTGTTCTTCATCAAAAACTAAAGAAGGATAAAGGGCAAGTAAAAAGGCAGATGAATGTAAGGCTGTAAAGATGATATTTTGTGTTACTTTGTGATAGTTAAGATGAAGCCCAACCCCAATCACTGGAGTTTAGTTGCAGAGGAAAACAGGGACAATTATGTCAGCCAGCATGTAATTTGTGTCTTCACAGACTTTTTTTCTCTGTGCATACTCAGATGGAAATCAATAGCCCCAGTAAACTGATGGAATCTGCCTTTTAAAGAATTGTAATTATTTGTGTCTGGAGAGCCTGATGGGTCTGCCTGTGAGTGTAACAGTGCTGTGCCAGACTGCAGATAAGCAGAAAATAACAATTTGTCATTATGTGCCATATGCTCGATCACTGTGGGTCTAGGAAAGACTAATGGTTTTAAATGAATGATGATGATGTGGTCACTGATCTGTGTCCAGACATTATGTTCATTACATCAAAAAAAAATTATATTTGCTCAGTTGATGCCATGCACACAGTTTTTTCCATAGCAGCATATAAAATACAAATAAAAATGACACAGTTTTGCATAGTTAGAGCTTTAAAATATCTTTAAATAAGTAATAATGCATTAAAAGCATCAGATTTTATTTATATATAAATATACTTAGACATGTTTGATATCTATCCTGTATATTTCGGGCACTTTTCTACAGAGACTTTAACATTTAAAAAGAAGATATTTTTGATATTGTGTTGGATGACTGGTAGGAACCTTGATGAGGGATGACAATTCCTTGAGGTACTTTTTTGAGAAGGGCATTGCAAGAGTTTATTTATATAATACGTGGCAACAGAATAGTGTATTTGTATTGTATGAACTAATAACTTGTTATTGCTATCCATAGACTATGAGTAATAGATGCAACCACATGGTTGCAAAAATGAAAATCTGACATTTTAGTACATTGATGCATAATTTTCACCATGATTTATGGTCCAAATCCCCAGTTTCAGGTGTCCTTCAATAAAACATGGTGTCTATTTGATAAATGAATAATTGAAAACAGAACGAAATGATAGAGCACACCAAACAAATGATAGGAGATTATGCTGGTGAGTGAATCAAATAAGGCAACCCATCATGTGTTGTCTCACATTCTGCTTTATCATCAAAGTCTGCTGTAGCTTCACAGTGAAACTATAATTTGTAACTATAAACCTGCTTCCATTTCTTATACACAGTTACATGCATTAATCTATTAGGCTTCTTTGCTCTTAAAACATGGACAGAAACACAATTCTTATGGTTTAACTAAGTTTAACTGTAAAATTCAAAAAATAATTATAATTATAATGTGTTCTTTCCAGCCTTTATATTTCATCATATTTCAAAACAGCATGAACACCTTTTAATCAGTTAGCAACAAATTGTTTTTGTGTAATCCTTTGAAATAGATAAATAAATCAAAGATTTATACTGCCATCACTGTGTTTTTCTATGCATTGTGGTGAAGAAGATGTCTGTTAGTGGTAAGGCTGCTAAGATTTTTCAGTTAATCGAGGAACAATCCACAAGGAAATTAGTCTTTAACTATTTTCTATCTTTCCGTGCTCCCTAAATTCAGTATTAAAATTCTAAACCATTTCTGGTCTGTTTTATCAGTAAAATGAATAGTCTTGGTTTGTAGATAAAACCTAAGGACATCTGAGGACATACCAATTTTTAGATAGTAGACAAACTAATGAATGAGTTCTGCAATTATCGACATTGTAACTGTGCAAATAAAAGACAGAAATATTAATATGATTATTTGATTGCAGACGTTATTATGCGATGCAGCTGTGTTTGGTGATTCCAACACGTAGGTCTGCTTTTTTCTCAAAAAGATTGAGTTAAGAATGAACCTCACCCACACCACCAATCAATCTTTTTCTATGACGTTCATCAGGTAAATTTTCTAGACACTATAAATTCAATCTGTGTTTTTCATGCTGCTTACCCCAATAAAGCATTTGAATTTGTTGGTGAGTGATTGAGTTTGTGAGAGTGAGTGTCTGGAGTAAACATATTACCATACAATACAATGAACACATTCGTCAGATAGGAGGTGCCACATTATCTTCTTTGTTCTCACTGGACACAGAGCCTGAAATCATGACCAAATTTCTTATCAGTAAAGAGTCTCTTATGAAAAATGTTTTGGATTGTAACAGAAAACGGATAATTTATTGTATGTCCAAACACTGTTGGGGAAATATCTGTGAGGAGTAAACATTTTGTGCTTAATGTTGCTGTCTGTGTATTTTTTTTACTGATTAACTGTTTAATGTATAAAGTGTGCTGAAGACAATTTCTTTATTTTAAAATCACCAGCTGTGCCTCTGCAGATCTGATCTTTAATGGTGTCAAGTCTGTGTGAACTGCTAATGAAGTTGCAGAAATTAATCTAACTGCATGCAAATCAAATTTAATCAGCGCTTCCAAAAAGCAGCGCAGGCAAACGTTTCAGAGAGGAAATGCATTAAGTTCCATCAGCTGCTACATCAGATAATTGAACTTTAGTGTGATGGGATAGCAGGCGGCTGGTGTTAATGCAGTGGCTGTCTCCACAGTATATTCTAATGAATTCATGGAGGTACTGGCTTGTCACGGCCACACATGCTACTATATATGCCCCAGCCAGTAGTCCAGATCAAGGATATAGTTACAGGAACAGCTCTACTGGAAAAGAGTTCTCGGGAGACTGAAACATCACATGATATTTTTTATGAACAAAAAAGTATAAATATATATTTATATATCAAACCTGAATCACATGAATAAAGCCTTTAAGGCCATACTTGCTTCCTCCATGGCAGTCTACATGGCAGCATATATTTTCAGAGTGAATGTAGTGATCTAGCTATCTGTCTGTTGAACATGATTTTAGTACACAATGTTCTTAAACATTGGATCACACATAAATCCTAGTTACAGTATACTATGCTCAAGCACAGGATGCTATTTTTTCCTGGTCCTGAATTTTTAATTTTTTTTTTTTTTAACATGAAATCTATCTGTGTATAGACCGTTATTGACACTGCACATCTGTAATCTCTTAAAAAAAACAAAGAGCACTAAAGATCACCTTGAATGAACAGGGTTCCATTTTCTTCTCGTTCTTGCTACTTTAACAATAATGGTAAATATAAGTAATTTATAAATATCAGAATTCCCCATTTTACCTACCAATATGGCGGCTGGCCTGTGACGTCATTCGAAAGCTACCGATTCCCTAATGTTTAAAAAACTCCAAGGGCTCAAAATTAAAATGTATCATTTGTGAAACATGTACACTTATGTTGGTATAAATATTACATTGTAATCCATTCATATCTTTACAAATATAATTAAGAACAATTTACTACATTGAGTGAACGCTAGTGATGTGTCGTTCGCGAGTGATTCGTCCAAAATGAAAGAATCTTTCATATGAGTCGTGACTCCCGAGTCATATGAAAGATTCGTGACTCGTGACTACCGAGTCATATAAAATATTTATTCATATTGAACTCACGAATCACTCACAAATCACTCACTGCGAACTAATCACTCACTGCGAACAAATCACTCTCTGCAAACTAATCTTTCACTGTGAACTAATCTTTCATTGCAAACGGATCACTCTCTATGAACTAATCTTTCGCCGTGAACTAATCTTTCGCTGTGAACTAATCTTTTGCTGTGAACGAATCATTCTCCGTGAACTAATCTTTTGCCGTGAACTAATCCTTCGCCGAGAACTAATCTTTTGCTGTGAACGAATCATTTTCTGTGAACTAATCTTTTGCCGTGAACTAATCTTTCGCCGTGAACTAATCTTTGTGGTGTGTTTTTATTTCGTAGCTTTTCACATGGTTTTAATTACTTATGGCATTTTGTGTACTTTGTGTGACTTTGTCAGCGGAAGCAAACCATGTTGCCTTCAGTATTTATTGTCGGAGGACCGCAGCCTTCTTTACAACGCCCACAATAGGGCTAAAGCGCCACCTGCTGTAAAACGAATTAAATTATTCGTTCAAGATTCGTTCAGGACTCGTTCATTTTACTGTTCGAGAGGCAAAGATTCGAATCAATAAAAAAGAGTCGGTCATCCCATCACTACTGCACTGCTACCATTCCAAAGTCAAGGTAAGAGTGCGCTTGTTTTATTGTACCGACCCACCCGAAGGATCGGCCAAAATTGCTCGACAATGTGAAGCTGGTTCCCGCCCAATCGAGATGCACGCTGAACCACATATGCGCTCCCACAGGTCACATGACAAGGAACAAAGGAAGAGGGGAGGAGGAGAATTAGAGGAAAAAATACAGGAATTAAATGGATAAGCAACTGGCAATGAGACGTCTTGAATGGTAGGTAATTTGTTGTGACACTTACGTTTACGGCGGTAAATTCACTGCCGTTACGTTTAGTTTGTTTAAATCGGTGTGTGTTATCGTTTGGATTCAAAACGCGGACGTTTTTCCTGCAATAGTATACAATAAAGTGTTTTTTTTTTTGCTGAGAGAGCAGATAGCCGTCGTGTTGTCACATTTTTGTGTGTTTTCAACGAAATTGTTATGTATTGGAACATTGTAGTGTAAAATACATTAACACGAAATGCTGATGTGTCAAACGCTTGTGACCAAACAGACAGGCGGATGCTGAATCACAAACACCGTAAACTGTCAGAAGTGGGGGGCGGGGGGATCAACGGTGACTCGTGTCTAACTAACACACCACCGTTTCCACTCATATTTTAAACATCCATGCTTTGGTTTTTGGCAGCGGTGGTGTGAAGAGACAGTGAGAAAAGGAACGATGGTGACATGCTGACTTCTAAACACCAGATGTGAAGTGAAGGACAAGTGGACATGAGATAAACCCGTAAGTGCAGATACACGGTAAAAGTGTGGGTTACCTTGTGGAATGAGTAAAGAAAACTTTAGTGTCAACAGAAGGTCCAACCTGAATTAACATACGTGCTTGTAAATAAATGGCTTGGATACGAGATTGTTTACTTTAAGTCCTCATTTTCTAGCAAGACCTGTGACTATTGAGCTCACGGTGTAGCTAATTGTTTTCCCTGTTAAAAAGTATGTCAGTAGACTTGTCAGAATATTTTCAACAGAGCTGATGTATTGTCGGGGCAATGCGGTGACATCGTAACCTAGTTAAAATGAAAATGTGAGTCCTTTCTGTGCTGCTGTCACTTTCATTTTACCTTAAGGACACAACTGCTCTCGAGTTTTTTTGGGTTTTTTTTATACTATTTTGACCCATTTTTTCTAAAACTGACAGTCATTTTGCCCCTATGCCCCATTTTTACTATTATGTCAATATACAGTGGTTTTTGATGTTTACATTATACACTGCTCAAAAATCACACAAAAATTATCAATGAAAATCAAATGTATCAACCCATGGAGGTCTGGATTTGGAGTTATACTCAAAATTAAAGTGGAAAAACACACTACAGGCTGATCCAACTTTGATGTAATGTTCTTTAAACAAGTCAAAATGAGGCAGTAGTGTGTGTGGCCTCTGCCTGCCTGTATGACCTCCCTACAACGCCTTTGCATGCTCCTGATGAGGCAACGGATGTTCTCCTGAGGGATCTCCTCCCAGACCTGGACTAAAGCATCCACCAACTCCTGGACAGTCTGTGGTGCAACTTGGCGTTGGTGGATGGAGCGAGACATGATGTCCCAGACGTGCTCAATTGGATTCAGGTCAGGGGAACGGGCGGGCCAGTCCATAACATCAATGCCTTCATGTTGCAGGAACTGCTGACACACTCCAGCCACATGAGGTCTAGCATTGTCTTGCATTAGGAGGAACCCAGGGCCAACCGCACCAGCATATGGTCTCACAAGGGGTCTGAGGATCTCATCCCAGTACCTAATGGCAGTCAGGCTACCTCTGGCGAGCACATGGAGGGCTGTGCGGCCCTCCAAAGAAATGCCACCCAACACCATTACTGACCCACTGCCAAACCGGTCATGCTGGAGGATGTTGAACCTGCTTACATCTGTGAAGAGCACAGGGCGCCAGTGGCGATTTGCCCATGTTGGTGTTCTCTGGCAAATGCCAAACATCCTGCACGGTGTTGGGCTGTAAGCACAACTCCCACCTGTGGACGTCGGGCCCTCATACCACCCTCATGGAGTCTATTTCTGACTGTTTGAGCAGACACATTCAATTTGCAGGGCTCTGGCAGTGCTCCTCCTGTTCCTCCTTGCACAAAGGTGGAGGTAGCGATCCTGCTGCTGGGTTGTTGCCCTCCCACGGCCTCCTCAACTGAGAAGTGGTCTGTGGTCACCACCTGCAGAACCACTCCTGTATTGTGGGTCTCTTGCCAATTGCCTATAATTTGCAGCTGTTGTCTATTCCATTTGCACAACAGCATGTGAAATTGATTGTCAATCAGTGTTGCTTTCTAAGTGGACAGTTTGATTTCACAAAAGTGTGATTGACTTGGAGTTACATTGTGTTGTTTAAGTGTTCCCTTTATTTTTTTGAGCAGTGTATTGTGTAAACCACATTTTTGTAACATTGTCAAAATGACGACACAAACTCACTAGAATGTGGATTGGAAACATCATCAACAATTTGCATGTTTCTCCCCATACATATTTTGTTGAAAATGTAAAATGTAATATATGAAATCTAAGTACATGCTAGCAGTTAAAGCAACTGCAACTGAATAAAATCTATTGGAGGCTGTAGTTCTGACATATCCGACTAAAAGCAATGTCGTGAACGGTTTTTGGGATTTTCTGATTGTAGCCTACTACTAACTTAAGTAAAGTAGCACACTAATTAACAGGCTTACTTTTCTATGTGACAGGTAAACAAAGAAACCTCAGAAGGAGAAAAGAAGATGAAGCTAAATGAACGCAGCGTGGCTCACTATGCCACCTGTGACTCGCCTCCAGACAAAACAGGCTTCCTGTTCAAAAAGGGTGAGCGCAACACAGCTTACCACCGGCGTTGGTTTGTCCTAAAAGGTAACATGCTTTTCTACTTTGAGGAGCGTGACAGCAGGGAACCCATTGGTGTGATAGTACTCGAAGGGTGCACGGTGGAACTGTGTGAGTCAGCAGAGGAGTTTGCCTTTGCTATCAAGTTTGACTGCCCTAAAGCACGGGTGTATAAAATGGCTGCCGAAACTCAGGCAGCCATGGAGTCCTGGGTCAAAGCATTATCTAGGGCCAGTTTTGACTACATGAGGCTGGTAGTGAAGGAGCTGGAGAGGCAGTTGGAGGAGATTCAGGAGGCTACAGGAAATGGAAATGTACCTGGGAGGCCCAAGCTGTCAAGAAGAAACCACATGGCACGATCAAAATCTGGAGTATCCTCATCTTCTTCATCATCTTCATCCTCTTTATCTTCCACATCAGCATTCGGAGTCCCTTCAGTTCCAAGCCATTCCTCAGCTCAGAAGATGTCCCAGGATGAGGTGCAGCTGAACTCTGGAAGCTCCAAAGAGAATGGGGTCACCTGGAGTAAACCTCCAGCCTTGGTTAACGGTGCACTGGATGGAGCATCTTCCTGTGCAGCCTGGGAAGGAAGTGCAGACTCTGGGAACAACGGTGTAAAACGTTATGCAGCTGATGGGGTTAGGGCTCCACCAGTGCCACCAAGAAGAAGAGGAGCTTCTTTGGAAAGCCCTGTCTCTCCTGGCACTGGCTGCTTCTCCAAACTCCATGATTGGTACGGCAAAGAGGTGGAAGACTTGAGAGTGCAATGGCTGCAAAGCCAGTAAGGAAACAGGAAGTAGTCATTTTCCATCCCTCCACATTATTACATCATTCCTTCCAAAACATTAATTACAAAAACTATGAAAAACTCACTTTAGAGTCTTAAGTAAGAGGTTTTAGATTGATTCCAAATCTCATCCATCACAGGAAATGCATTTGGTCTAGTGGAATAACATTATTGTACAATCCAAAATTTTGATATACAGAAAAAGAAAAAAATGTTTTGCTTAACGCTATTTGCCCATTTAATTTAAGAAAGCAGCATTAAAATTCTGCAGTTTGGTGAACTGAGATAAAATGCTTGAAATTGTGTTTTGCCCGTTGCAGTGCTGTTTTTTAAATTCCTTTGTAGCCAAATGTACTGTAGCAGTTCTTAAATTCTGCCAAAATCTAAAATGTATTCCTAAAAACATGTACATTATCAGAGTGTTCACAATGAAGGCAACAACAAAAACTTGTTCACACCCTATGTGTGTGCGTGCAATCCCGACAAAGACTTGTGTTGTTTGTCCCTGTACTATTAGTGGCCTGCAGGAAATATCTTTGGCTTTTGTAGCTTAGTTCATTTTATTGGAGGGGATTTGAGAATTTAATTATATTCTCTATTTACAGAGCACAACTGGAAAGGTACATACTTTAATCCCTTCCTCATTTCTGGTGTAGCATCATTAGTTGACCTTGAAAAGTTAACACAACAACCTGTCAGCACACAGAAGTTGAATTATTCCCACTCAAGAGTAATTCTCTTTAAGGTGACTGCATATACTGTGTTAGCCTTGGTAATCTGGCTTTATTTGCACACACTAAGCCTTTGCATTGACTTTGAATGTAATTGGGTTCAAAACCAATTCCAACCACATCTGGACCGACTTCACGGTTAGCATTAGAAAAAGGGGCAAACACGACCAATGTGTCATTCTTGCTCATTTGAAGTGACACAGTTAACCAGCTATTGACATTCTACAGTGAGGCACGGAGGGCTCTGTTTTTTATAGACATTAATTGTAAAGTACTTAAGCTCCTTCCACTTGACATTCAACTTGTGCTTAATAGCTATATTAATTTTTTACATACCGATGAATAGAGTAGCGTTAAAGGACACTAAATAAACCTGTTTGGTACAAAGTGTAAGGGGAAAATGTTCCCAATAAATCCCTGGTGCTGTGAAGTTACTTAAATTCAAAGATGACAGTACACAGCTGTCAAACATCTGCACAGTTACAGACATGTCTGAATACCATAAAATGTCCATACAATTTGCATTTCCTATTAATTTTAAAAACTTTAAACTTGACTTATTTTTATCGTTTACTGTATATTCATTGTAAAGAAGCAAGGGTTTCTTTTCAAAAGATTGTTTGGAAGGAGGAGGGGAATTCTCACACTCCCAGATGAGTACATCTCACTTCAGAGACCTTGTGGTTGCTAATGTCAGAGCATCCTCTCGACACTCACTAGGGACTGTGGTAGGAGTTGGATGAATCACCCAAAGCAACACATCCTGGTATTTTTAGCCATTGTTAGCCAGCAGCAAGATGAGGCGATGTTGTACGAGTGCTTGTCACTTTGAGTTCTTTTCTGAATTCTTGCATTTCATTTAAGAAAAAAAAAAACTGCCTTAAACACCTGAGTTTACTTCATCACCATTATCTGATTTTATTAAGTGTTTGTATTTGCTTATACAGTGTATTTGCTTATACACTCTGCTCATAAAGCAGAGTGCTAAATGAGTATAATATACACAACATACAAACACCTAACCTTTGACTTTGTTCTTACTATTCCATATTGGAAATTAACACCAATTGTAACTCTAAACACATAAACCCGTACATTTCAGTTTTATATGTGCCTTCTGTTCTTTATACCTCTGTTATTGCACTTTTAAACATTATCATTAATCATAAAATGAGGGGGTGGGGGAATAGGGGTGCAACTTGACCTCTTTTGATTGTATTGGGTGTCATTACTCTTTTTTGCCAAAGGCTCATTTTAATGCAATCACTTTTCGACCTTTTCTCAGCTCCTTCAGTCTGCTTCAGTGCACATCAGAGTCATTTCTATCATTTCTGTTTCTTGTGCTGATATGGCGGTGAGGGGAAAAACGGTACATTGTATGTGTGATCTGAAAAAAAAAAAAAACCGCATCAGTATCCTTTGCAAATACAAGCATGGTTGCATCACTGCCTCCAGAAATTCATCACTTCTGCTCACATCAATTGTTTCTTCCTACTGCAGTGTAAACAGAAATGTATGTACATGTCAAATCAACATATTGGCATTAAACTGTTTATATGTTTCTCTCTTTTATTTTTGTTTTATAAGTGCCATATGATGAATGCAATCTAAATGCAAAATCACTCAATTTTGTATGTTTTACAGATAACTTTTATGATTTTAACCACATTTGTAAACATGATAATGACCAATGAAAGCATTATATCAAGTCTGTAATCCTTATGTCTTAGATGTGTGTCACTGTGACATTTTCTGTAATCCACTCAATAAATTACAATAATATGTTGTTGTTGTTGTGTTTTTAATCACTTCACTCATCTAAGATCGTGTGTTGAAAAGAATACAAGAGCTACTACCTACTACCCTCGGTGCTGTCAACATGTCTGTCACTAGATGTCACTGCGCAACAGTTTAAATCAGCTGTCTTAAACTGGGCAAATCTCAAAAATCAGTACGTGCATTACACTAATGTAATGATCTCATAACAGTAGTTAACCCCTACAAACATTTAAGCTGTATTTGCTATATTTCCAATGGCAGGAAAGTGACGTCAGAAATGCAGGATGAGAAGTTAGATCATTAGCAGTTGAAGCGTTAACAGACAGGATACAGACTTGAAGAGTATATGTAATGTCTGGACGCTCTTTGGCGCTCTATTAACACACCTGTGGCCAGACAGCAGAATTAAGCGAGCGCTTCCTGTTCAGATATTTCAACATGAAGGAGTACGTGATGGCGACACACATGTATCTGTAATGAAGAAGGAGTATTTGGAAGAGAGCACAGAAAGATGAATGTCTGCAATGGAGAGGAGAGAAGTATAAGTGCGTGGAAACAAGAATGAATACATTGATTGAGTACATAAGCACGTAACGTTTTAACAGATTCTCATTGGACGAACACCACAATTAAATATACTATAGTGTGAGATTCGATTGTATATTATTGATCATTATTATTGGGGATAATTATACCACAAGTACATGAAGATGTGGAGTTGAAACAGTAAAGGAGGTGAGGAAGCACAGTAAGACTGAAGATGATGACCCCCTGCTGTGGCCACTGAAGGCAGCAGCCAGATTTAAGAAAAAAGCGTTTTCTATGCTCTGCCTGATCCGACTAAATATAGGTTGTATTTCAAGACGGAAACATTTCTCAAAATTGGACTTCCAGTCTAGACAGAAGATGATAAGTGATGGATGACCAACGCTGGAGATAAAAGTTTTGCAAACGAAAAGACTGGCTGTCCTGCAAGAGAGCGCCGTTACTGCTTTACTTGCCTTTTAATCTCATTGTGTGATGACGTCTGGACTAACTCGGGATACTGACTTGAACATTTGTAAAGAATAGCTAAAATGGCTTTGTTTTTTTTTTTTAATAAATAAGTTGGGAGTAAGTAGAGAAAAAAATCAACAACTTGATAACTCAATTTTTGGCCTTAAAATATGTTCTTATTAGTTGGATAAACAACGTTTGATTAAAGCGCAAGAATGAAATTGAAAAATAAGTGAAATTCTTTCTGAAGCTCAAAATAAAGTTTTTACTGCATTCATCTCTATACTTTAATTTGTTTTCAGTAAATTGTATTGCTCAGACACAAGAAGTGCGCTCACCCATGTCCCGCTGTAACATTATGGAGGGAGCCAGCATTCTGGACCTGTGCGCTCCTCCTCTGGAACAACCTTCCCGGCACGATAAAACTGGCAACATCAATAACCATGTTTAAAAACACGTTAAAAACATGTATTAAAGTATTAGTGAAGAAATGTATTAATCAAGTTCTAAGCGCTTGAAGTTAGATTCATGTTATTAAAGGAAAAGAGTTTCTTATGAATTGAGCGCAAGAATGGAAATTTTTACATTCTTATTGTGAAAACAAAACAGGAAGTGCCGTTTTGAAATTCCTCTCGCTTTACAGAGCATGACTGCTCCACTATTTTGACGGCGGAAATGAGGAGTTGCCACTTTTCTTTTGCGTCAACTTCGTAGCTGAAACTTTTTTTTCCTCTAACCCTCCCCTTATTTTTTCGCCTTTATAAGGACGGAGCAAGGCTGACAGAAACTATGAGAGAGAAAGCTGCCAGCATGCTGCTTTTCCTTTGAGGCACCAGCGACTTCGCAGATGTGGTTTTTATGTTACTTTACATGTTTGTCGATACATTTTTACACCGTTATGCGAAGTCCAACTTGTTGCTGAGCTGTCGTGCTGCGGTAGATGAACGTCCAAGATTAGCAGTAGGTGAGTTTACTGTCATTGCTTTTACTTTTGTTTGTTTTTTTTGTTCCAAAAGACCAACAACACCACTACTTTCTTAGCTGCGATAATGAGAATAAAAAGAATAAAATGTTATCGTGGTAAATTTAAAGGGCTTTCCGCTCCCCTCTGAACCTGCGTATATTGAAACAGACACACATCCCTCTGACCAAAATACATTCTCTGAAAAAATACATAGAACCTTTTTTTTTAAAGTAAATACAACAGACTGAGCAAACATTATATGTATATGGAAATCTCGGTACAGAATCTTTGTATTAGTGTTTTAACTTAAAATAAATATTCAAATTAGTCAATCAATCAATTTCTTCTTTACACTTTGAACACTATTGTTCTTTAAATCACAAATATAGATATATCATTCTGTCTTTTTTTAAATTATCGAGTTAAGTGCATAGTTGAGTCTCATTTTCTTAGCTTATGTAAACTGTCCTTTACACAATTTTGTATTCTAAGAAAGATGAAATGTCTGTCTCACCTTGCTTTGATTATTTATCTAAATGTTTTTTTAAACACACAGTATACGTAAATGAAATAAATTAATATTCACTATGTATTTTTAGTACAGCCATTAATAATCTAGGTATTCAGATGCTTACAAATGTTGCACAAATGTCCTGTATTCTGATAGGCAGTTTATCTAGCATGCTGTATGTGTGTTTGGTAAGGTCATTTGTTCAAATAATTGCTGATATTGCTGAAAAAGTTTTATGTTTAATGTATGTGTCCTTACTGCTCTATAGAGGCATGTATGTGTGTGTTTAGTTTATTTGGTTTGCAAGTAAGTTAGTATGAAGTCTAGGTGGAAAGAGAGTGATTGGCTGTTTGTCTTTAATATTTCATGGTTTTCTTGTGCAGCCACGTGACATTAGGTATGGTGGTGGCTTTACAGCCAGTAGTTTTGGGCTGGTGGATCAGCTCCAGCTGTGTGCTAATGTCTCCCTGTGTTAGGCTCTTAACCAACAGTTGCTCGCCCTACAAACCAAACAGGACACACTGTATGCCCATGTAGAGCAGATTGCAGGTCTAGATTAATGTGAGGTTTTCTATAATCAATTGCATCCACCATAAAATAGTTGTGTCAAGTCACGTATGCAGAGTTTTGCTGTGGCAAGCAGCATTAGATAATGAAGCTTAAACTGAGTCAACATCTTTTACTATATATTTCACAAAAATGGGTAAACATTTTTTCATTAGGGCTGTTTTGCTCCAATGGTCAATTAAGCCTTTCACATCAGCTGAACATTGAGTCATACAAGCACAAAAGACAGGAAAGTAATTTCCAGTAAAAACAGTTCAGTTGCAAACAGAAGGTGGACTGTGATTTAAAATGTAGGTGTAGTTCCTCATAATTATTTGGCCTGAAAATACCTACTGGTGTTTCTCATGAATTTTAGAAATGTTTTTAATCTCCCAAAGACTTCCTTGGTTTCTTAGAGTTGGTTATTTTGGTGCTCTCGTCACTTCACTATTTTGCTCATGGTGGTACGGACAAGAGAAGTTCTGTTCTGCCTGCCTGAATGTGTACTTGACTGTGTATGAAGCCCTAGCATGAATTATTGAAAAGCAAAAATAAAATAAAATAAAATAAATAAAACTACTCCAGCCATCCAAACATCTCTGCTTCTTGCAGATATATTGCTGTCAGTTTTATTCTTCAAAAATTGATCCTGAACTAATTTTGTATGACAGATTAAATCTTCATGTATGTCATATTGCCCCTCCTACAAACATACAGCGCCAACTCTTTTCCTTTGATTCGAGTTATTAACACTCCACTTCTGTGCTTATGCTCAGGTGTCCACTTAAGTATTGTGTCAAAATTCTTAAACAGCTTGAGAATAAACATTTGTTGTGCAGGCACAGAGGCATTTATTACTAGCTAGCAACCCTGCATATAAAAAGTACTACTCATAATCTACTGCTCAAAAACATTTTATATGCCACATTTAAGACCCTTTGCAAGAGTACTTTCTCTAAGATAAACAAAACAACACGGTGTCACTGTTTTCAGGTCAGAACCATATCAGACTACTATAGATACATATATTTAAAACATTTTTGTTAAAACTTTACCATAGCTATTAGGCATAACCATGCTGTACACATGTAATTAAATAGCAATTAAAGACTTCTTGTACTAGAAAATATAATGACACTTGATAAGCATAATTCAAAAGTTTTCCCCCAAAACACTGAGGGGAAAAACTGTTCGCTTGTCTTGACTAATTCTTGGAGTTGAGAAACTGCATTCTTGATCTCTTCACTAACATTCTTTTGTGCAAAATAAATTAAAACAAATGTTTGTATGTTGTCTTAAACAAATAGAAAGCTCTTTATTGTCCCGTGTGTTTAACCGAGATGTTATCAATGCAAGCTCTTCCGCTTCCCTCAGGGATTCTAAGAAATTCACTGATGAGACCACAAGAGAGGTCTGACCCACAACGGCCCTCCGGGGGAAGGGAGTAAAAAAAAAGAAGGCTATAGTAGAAGGAGAGGGGAAAAGAGAGGAAGAGAGGAGCCATGGGAGATAACTTGGCAGGCAGACAGGAGTAGAGGGGAAAAAAGGAGTGACAAGGAGAGATGGAAGAGACAAATCCAGGCAGAAAAAAACAACAAAGATTGTCATGGTGACATTAGAGGCCTTCTCTGCTCTCCCTTTACACCTTTGTGTATGTTCAGAGTGAATTGTGTAGCATTTGGCTGCCGTAAAAAACACCATGTCATAACTCTTCAGATTTTTCCCCTACTGTTAGAACTGGAACATTGGCCTTCTGTTGGCATTCCAAGAAAGTGCCAGACAGAGAGTGCACATATGTCTGTGTGTCTGTTTGTTATTTTCCAAAGCAGCAATAATTAAAGACCATGTGCACATTTGCATGTGTTTACCCCAAATGCACCCCCTGCTCTGGTTGTTGAAGAACGTTGATTATAGTTAAGAAAGGGATCATCAAACATGTGTGTGGTTGTAGGTTCTGTAATTCATGAATGGATGTTTGTCTCTACGTGTGTGTACGTATGTAAGTGAGCAAGAGGTCAATACGCAGGAGACATTTTTTTCTGTCACGTTTTAGAAAGTTATGATTTTAATATTTTTGTTGTTGTTGTTAGTGTTGTTTTTTTCTTTTGCACTCGTTTTTATAAACTGTATAGGAGATGACTCTGTCATCACTGTAACTCTCATAATTAAAGGTTAAAGCTGCTGTAAGTGATTCTGTCTCCATTAAGCTTACTCTTCAGCCTCAGGTTCACTTCAGCGTCAGTGTGAGAACAAAAACCCAAAGGACATGGCAACAAATGCCTTTTTTACTTTTTACTTTTGCCAGTTTTTGGCGAAGAAAACTAAAGGATGTGATGAACAATTGAGATAGCACTTACAATTATGGGGAGATGAGGTGCAGAGAGGTTGAAGCCATTATTTCTCTGGCTTGAGTGCAACTATTTTCTTTTTTTGTTTGTTTGTTTGTTTTTATATTATTATATTTACAGTGTTGAGGTGTATATAAACAAGGCTCATATGTAGGTATTGACCATATTTACTGTGTAGCTGAAATCAGATGAACAAATGCTATTGTCTTTTCTTATATTTACAGACATACAAAAAGCAATAACAAAACACTTTTTAGTTGTCTTGATAGGTTCCTTCAGTTATATATGATTTAAAAGGTAAATCAGTCTTTGTGGTTGTTGTCTTATACATTCTGCCCATTATTTTTTTTCTTTTTTTCTTTTTTCAACGCCTCGTTATTTATAAAGGTAGATAGACTTTATCAATCGTAAAGTAGCAGATTTAATAATAGTAGTAGTAGTAGTAGTAATAGAGGCTGATATAGGTATTCACACACATCCTGTGAAACATCCTTTTGTGTGAATCATCATTCTTTAGAATTAATAACAATTAAAGACATTGAGTTTACCCACTACAGTTAGCATCAAATCAATACTATTTTCTTCTTTTCTGTTTTGCATTCAGATGTTTACCTATAATGTCCATTTGTCATATGTTTTATGTACCAATGCTGGGTCTTAATGTGTTTGTTCCTCAATGTGTGTTAAGACAAAACACAAACACATTTAAGTTGAAGTGAAAGCAGGAACACATTGTCACACAAATCATAAAATATGCAGAATGTCACACAGGTTCAGTGCTATTACTACACACACAGAAATTAGTGTTGTGTAATTGCTAACGCTGAAACTTAGTTGGCTCCTCATGAGTCGCAATGTGGAAAAATTTATAACTTCTGAATTAGTCTTCCACGAACTCTGATGGCTGCAGATGATTCACAGCCGATCAGACTTACTGAAGGATTCAATTATCCTGCGCTGCCCCCACCACTCATACACACACACACACACACACAATGAGCATCACACATCTTAAATATTATCATGCGCCCTGCAATTCACAACAAAGCTGAGACAAATCACGAGTAAGCATGACTCATTCATGAAGTGCTCACTAATCACTAAGTGCCACTTATTACATTATTTGCACATCTTTACATTACAACATATTTGATGTCATATTCACTGATAAGTTGTCAGCATTT